GGGGGGGGAACGGAGCTCCCCGCCCGGCAGGGGCTCCGCCTGAGTCAGGTTTTCCAGGAGGGGCGTTGTTGGTTCCAGGGTGGGGCCCGGAACCCGCACGGCCGCCGCGTCTACACGGACCCGGAACTGACTTCCGGGCTGTGTCTACACTACACATCAGGCCAGGCGCACGACGAAGATTGAGGCCCTTGGGTCCCGAAGGAGGCAGGATTTCCATCTCCCCTCACCCCAACCTCAAGTCCCAGGAAAGTTAAAAATAGACCGAAATGTCCAAATACGGCCGGCGCGCCCAGGCGGGCGGAGCCTCGGTGCAGGACACTGTCCACCCCTATATACTCTCTGGGGGGTGGCCCAATGTCCTTAAGGCCCAAGAAAATCTCGTTAGGTTCCGAGTCACGACGGAGCGCACACCCAAGGGACAGCCACGGCCACAGGGAGCCTTTGCCGGGCGCGGTGTGTGTCTGGTCCCTACGGAGGTCTCATTTTTCCATCTGGGAAATGTACACCCGACTTCCAGCATTTGGGGCCTATACCCTTCTCCCCTATCCCAGACACCCTAACGAGGGCCTCTGTGCTTCGCTCAGGGGCTCCTCTCCTCTCCCTCTTGATCCCCCAGGACACTCTTCTCCCAAACCAGCCCCAAGCAGCCCCACAGTCGCTGGGGTCTTAAAAGGCACTTGAGGGGCAAACTCTAGCTCAGATCCCACCGCTGGCAGAGGTGGTGATGGCTAAAAGGCTTTGGTGCTTGCAAAAGGCTGGGCTATTTCTTACGAGCTGTATGGGAGCAAGTCGGTTTCCTAGAGCCAACTCTGCATCCTTAAAATGTGGTTAATACCTGCCTTAAAGATTGCTGGGAAGGCTAAGATAAAGCGCGAAGGCACCTCCCAGTCCCTCAACAAGCACTTCCCTCTCTCGGCCCGACATTCATTCCACACGTGCTTGGGACAGACCTACTAAGAGCCAGGCCCTGGGCCAGATAGGTCACACTTCCTATAGTGGGGAAAGCCCCTCAGGCGTGCCTGCCAGTTATACAGACAGCTCTCGTAAACTTTACCTGTTTCCCACCTGACAGATAAGGAACCTGAGGCACAGTAATGCGGACTTGTCCTAGAGAGGAAAAGGCGGGGCCGAGACCTAAAGCCCCAGCATGCCCCTCGCACCCAGGCTCCCCCGAGAGGGGGTGAGGCTGCGGCAGGTGAGGGCTGCAGCCTCGTGGGGAGGCTCATTACCTCGAGAACAACAGCCCGGTCGGAGCCGCGGCCCGGGGGACCCCGCGGGGGGTGCACCAGCTGGGAGATGGGGCCTTGCGGAGGGGCCAGGGGACTGGGTGCGCAGCTGGGAGATGGGTGGGAGAGGAGGGGGGGTATTAAACGCCACCGGCAGAGGCGGGCTCAGGGAGGAAGGGGGCGCCCTCTGCGGCGTCCCAGGTTTAAAATCCAGAAGGGAACGGGAGCGGGGAGGGTTCTCAGCTTCCAGCCCACTCGGGGTGGGGAGCGCCTTTGGATACTGGGGGAACGAGGTCGAGCGAGCCCCCACCAGCAGCATGGCTCCCTGCGGTAAGGGGGCGACAGGGCTGGCGCTGCGGCCGCTCGCGGACCGGGGAGGAGGAGCGGAGAACGGGAGGAGCCTCGCGGCCGCAGAGCCCGCCCCGCCCGCTGCCGCGTCAAGCGGCTGGAATGAGGGGAATCCGCGTGCGGAGGGGTCCTGCCGGCCACCCCCCACCCCCCACCCCGGAGCCGCGCCGCCGCATTCCCGGGATGCCCGCTGGCGCCCCCACAGCCGCCGCCCGGCGGCGGAAGGAGGGGGCGTCTTCGCTGCCGGGCAGGCCAGAGGGGCGGCCCCAGCCGGGGTCCCGGCCCCCGCCCGCCCCGCCTCACTGGACGGAAGCGCCAGCCCCAGGGAGGGGTAGGGAGGCGGGGAACCGAGGGTGTGAGAGACACAGCGACCAAGGCTGCAGCTCCTGGAGCTTCCTGCGTTCTCAGCGCCGACTTACCGTACTCCCTTCCATGCTCCCAAGCCAAGCCTTTAGGTCTGTGTTATTACCCCATTCTATAGGCGGGGAAACTGAGTCTGGGCAGGTGAATGACTTGTTCAAGATCCCAGGACTAGTAAAAGGAGGAGTGGGGTTGGAACCGGCAACGCCAGCACTCACTGCTTCTGCAGGGCTGCCCTGAAGGAGAGAGGCAGGCCCGCCCGCTGGCTGGTGGATGTCCAACCTTCCGCTTCTCTGCAAGGGTTAACTCGCTGCCCTGGCAGGCTATGACCTTCCTCAGTAACCCCGTGACTGCAGTGCCCAGTATACAACCCTGTCGGTTTTGTGTGACTATTGATATGTAGGCCTTAGGAGCAATAGCTAGGGAGTACCCACTGCCTTTGGGCCCCCAGCATGGCCCTGCACCTAGGGGCTGGCTGCAGGCTGGTGAGAAGCCATGGACACGAGTGACCCAGGACTTATTTCCCAAGACTACCTCTGGGTTTCCTCCCACCTGTGTCATTTCCTCTAAAGGCAGGGATGGGGCAGACCCAGCAGACCTAGGTCATCCAGTGCCCTTTACCTAGTGTGGGCCAGGTACCCTCAAGACTGGCCTCTGGAGGAGTGGGGAAGGCAGTGGCAGCCTCAGATGTTCAAAGAGCCTCAAAGGACCCATGCAGATCTGGAGAGGGTGTTTTGAGCATCCCCAGATTTCTGCTAAAAGCTGATTTCCACCGAGGTAGCCTCCTGGCCTTTTGGGGAAACAGAATCATAGCCTCTCTCACCCACAGTGTAGTGCTGGGCACAGAAGAGTTTATATTCAGTTTATATTCATTATGCTCAGTTTACATTTATTGGATGTATCTTAGATCTGGGCCCAGGCTGCCCCACCAAGGACTGTTCCAGACTTAAGGCAACTGTTGTGAGGGGCAAGGGAGATGAAAGGTGGGGACTAAAGGGCTCTACCCGATTATTCACAGGGCCCCAGTCAAGGGCTGTACACTCTAGCTCTAGAATCATGGGTCTCTGGCCTGCCAAACACCTCTGCTTGGGGGTCCAGCGGAAGTAAACAGAGCACTTTGCCCCCCTGACCTATCCTCCTTGTTCAATATCCTATATGTAGAAAGGAGGAAGACACCTCCAGCTAGTCATCACCATCTGGCATCAAAAGTCCTGTTCACTTCCCTCCATTTCTCACACCAAGGAGTCACCACCTGCTAAAACCTTCCCTCTGCTCCCCCTTCACTGTTGTGCTCCTGGATCAGGCAGCAACCTTCACACTGTCCTCCCAGCCTTCCTCCCTCCAATCCATTTTCCCACAACAGCCTGTAGTATTTACAAATGCAAGTCTGATTAATTAACATCTTATGTTAACGGAGTGAAAGTTTATAGGGCACCCTTCTATGTGCCAAGCCCATACTTCACACCTAATGCTTCTTGCCAGGAACCTGCATATAGACTCCAGCAGCCCCCTCTGTCCTCAGCTCACCCCAATGTGCCCATGTTCCCGTGTGACCACAGGGGTGGTCCTCTCCAGTCCCTTCTTTCACTACCACACACAGCCAGGAGGAACTGCCCCCATCCCTATCACACGTCGCTCTCTCCCTAAGCTTCTTGTCTTTGCACCTGCACCTTCCTTGGTTGGGCGCACCCTCCCTCTCCCCACCTGACTGACTCTTAGTCATCCTTGAAGACTCAGCTCAGGTATCACCTCCTTCAGAACCCCTTCCTGCCTCCCCCAACACATAGCCCCCTCCATATCTCATCGTGCTCTAATCGCCAGTTTCCTTGTCAGTCTCTCCCAGGAGACTGCTCCCTCCAGGGCGTACACCCCGGCTAGGCAGACAGTAGGGGCTCAGTAACCCCTCGTGGACGCCTGTATGAATGAACGAATCACAGAGCCCAGAGCGTGCCGGGAGTTGAATAAGGCCGTGGACCAACCATTCATTCTCTCGTTCACCTCCGAGACCCCGGCCGCCGCACTCACGGGCGCCTAGGCGCGGGGAAGCTGGCACTGCAGGGCCCCGGGGGCGGAGTACGGGAAGGGGCGGGACTCGAGCGTCCTCTCCGGAACCCAGAGGCAGCCCCGGCTGCCGGAGGGGCCCAAAGAGGGTACAGGGTGCCTGGATCCTGTGACCCCAGCCGCCCCTCCCCGCCCTCACGTTACCTGCAAGTAATCTAAATCTCCACGAGGCCGAGTTCTGGGACCCCTCACGGGCCGGGCCAGGCCGCCCCGGGCCGACCCTCGGCCCCAGCGATCCCCAGGCCGGCGACCCCCGCCTTCCCGCACGGCAGCTCCGGGCTGGGCTCGGCTTTCGGCCACCTGCCCTTTCCCCCTTTCCCCCCGCTGGCCGACCCCTCCCGAGACCACGCGGCTGCTGCCCGCCGTGCGCCCACGCCCCCCGTACCCACCGGCTCGGCTCTTCGGGTGCGCAGGCGGGGG